TCTATTTTCGTCACAATCAGAATAATTCAGAAACCATGGTAAACAAATATTTGCTATGTATCGAGTCTGCAGGGCATGTAGTGCGTGGATGCGAAATTTATAACATCGCGTACATCGCCAAATGCCCGGGCATATATCACATGCATATGACCGGACATAGCACACGCGCAGTTGCCTGTCAAATTGCACAGGGATATGACCGGTCAATTCCGAATTGCATTTGATTGGTCCGTGCATATGAGCGGTTCATATGCAATCGAGCTTTTTTGACAGGCATACAAATATGACCGGGCATCTTTGGCTTGCGTTTGATTGGTCCGCGCATATGAGCGTCATATGCGTATGGGCGCAGTTGACAGGTTATGAAGTGCGCATTTCAACTGTGAACATTTCGGTAAGTTCGGCTTTGCGGTTACATCGCAACCCTAACGATCCGCGACTCAGTACAATGCGCGAAGTACAAATAAATCCCTCGTAACATCACAAATGTACAAACGAAATACGGTAACCATGTAATTGCGCGTGAGGTACGAAGCTCAACCCAAACACTGGCACCAACTAAACCACGTCATGTGCCGGGCATATTCCTCTCGATATGTCCGCCAGAACGCAAAGTTAGGGATAGATAGCTCCTAGAGTGGATACTAGAAGTTCTACCGGTTTAGGCCTCTAGCACCCTTTCCTATCACTAACTCCGTACTTACTTGATACACGAGCCGTCGGCGCGCGATTAGGCCGTGGATATGTCAGGTCGAGCAGCTCGTGGTAGAGGGAAACGTCAATGAAAACGTGAAGGCACGTCAACGCCCGACGTGGATTCGGGAGAAGATGACGGTCTTCGTCGTAGTGATAGGCTGAAATTGGGCCACGCAAATGCGACGACTATCAAGGAGCATTGCGCCACGCTGTCTGATCCGGTGGTCTTGAAAAAATTAGCTCCCCACGATTATGGCGTGGAGCCGGAGTTTGAGACGCCGTTGGTAGAACCTGACGATCTCATCGCGAAAATCACCGGAGATACCAAGATCCCGTTGCTAAACACACATGAGGAGTCTAGAGCTACTGCGGACAAGTTTACGCATCCCTTTTTTCCCACGCATGCGATTCGCGACCATCACGGCATGACGGCCATTATCACGATGGCCGACGCTCTGCACATCACAGATAACCAGCCGATCACGCAGCCGCTCATCGATTTCCATAATATGTAAGTGCCATACCACAGACATGTAGACTCCGGTGATGAACCCTTGTGTCTTGATTATCGCACTTACAAATCTCTCATTGTTGTGCTACATTTACTGCCTCTTTCACCGCAGAGTGCTCAACATCCGCCGGCCAAAGTTGAGCAATGGCAAGACGTGGCTCGCGTTGGACAGTCAAAGTTACGACTACTTCTGCTCACGGGGCAAGATCGCCAGTGGAGACTCCAGAGCGTCAATCTTCAGCTACGACTATCTGGCCATGCCAATCTTTGGCGGGTAAGTGCCATGATCCCGTGTCTAGTCTAGCCAGCACGCAAAGGGCTTCGGCTGTTGTTTTGCCTGACCGTGACATTAGTTGTGTAATGTGGTGACGATGCAGGTTTCATTTCAGTGTGATGATTGTGGTCAATCCTGGAGTTGTGACTCTCCCGCTCGACGAGGACAACGCCACCCAGCCTGCGTGGTTGCTGCTGTATGACTCCCTTGGGATGCATGCTGTTGGGGGCAATGCATTCAAGAACATGACCAAGTAAGGTTCCGCTAGAGGTTGCGAACACAAATTCACTTACAAGCACGCAAACATCACCGTGCATGATTTTGTTTCATTTATTCAAACTTCCACTTCGTCTTTTGTCCTTCCCAACGCGGTCCCGTCACAGCTTGCTAGGCATGGCCTACGAGAAGGACCATGGAAACCGACCAATAGAAGAGATGAAAGCGAGGCTCGGGAGATTCCAGCCACACGTCATGGAGGTGTGTTGACCAGTACTACGCTTGTCTACCATGCTACATCGTATGCTTATTCATGTGCAGCCATGCTATTATTGCAACCCATGCAATCCTGGTGCAACCATGCGCATGGTGCACCCATGTGCACGATGCTGCCAAACAACCAATGTACTGCCCGGTTCAAAGTGCTCTCGTGTGTATGGTGCCACTAAGTTGAGTGCAGCCATCTGTACGTGCAAGGTGCTTTCCCGTGCAAACTGTTGTACTCTGCATGGTGCACATGTGACATTAAACATTTTACATACATAGTTTATCAAATGATAGACGTGTACACTCCCGTCTGTTTTTCATTATGCTGCATGTGCATTTGGTGTATTGCAGGCGTGGCAGATGCCTCTGCAGCAGAACGATTTTGACTGCGGCATCTTCGTATGCCAGTACATTCAAGCGCTTGTGGAGGCGTGTTTCGAAGGTGCTGAGAACGGGGTACGGTTCAGCATGAGCCCACTGGCATATCGACGCAGGTTACGGGAGGATGTGTGCGCTCATGCAGAAGGACGGTTGATCGGGGAGCTAACGGCAGCTGGGCATGAGATCCCTTCTGGCAATGAGATAAGGAAACCGCCCGAGCCTGAGGTGATAGGTGATGAGGTGGAGGATAGGGAGTGGAGAGCGGAGATGGCAGAACGGATGCATAGGCTCGAGGTTCGCAATGAGGGTCAGGCAGTGGCTATTGCCAAGCTCGAGAGGCAATTGCGTGAGCTGATGCTTTCTCGTACTCCGCAGCATGGCGTAGACGGTGAGGCTGCAGGGGAGGGACATGGTGATGTGGCAGGGGCCGGTGGAACTGGTGAACCTGCACGTGTGGAAGTCATGGGTGGGGACAATGCTGGCACACATGACAGCAACCCAGGTGCACATGGTGAGGGTCCTGTGGCTGCCGTTGAGACTGGTGAAGGTGGGAAGGTGCGTGATGAAGGTGCCGGAGGCTTGTTGGGTACTACGGATGGTAATAGAGGTGCTAGAGAGGCCGTGGGTACTGGGCATGGTGTGACTGCCTCGAATGTGGATGTGGATTTGGTGTCCGCATACAGCACAGGGACTGAGACGACGAGTCGCAACACTGCGCATGGTCGAGCTCCTAGCTCAGGTTATACTGGTATAAGCAGACGGGAAGGTAAGTGGGCGGCACGACTGTGCCTAGATAACAACTGGTTGGCGCTGGGACGGTATACCGAGGTCTTGGATGCCGCAAAAGCATTTGCAGTAGCCGCCCACATCTGCCGACCGTCCATCTCCAGCTCGAAGATGGTGCAGTTGAGCGTGGAGGAGAGGAGGTGTTTGGAGGGTCTGACGTCGCAAGGGGTTGAGAGGATTGTGGATGCGAAGCGGTGGGCAGAGTGGAGGAACTGGCGGGAAGTGCTCAGCAGCCTCCCTGAGCCTTCCACCCCAGCGCCAGCAGGAGTTCACACACAGGCTCCACCTCTCTTATCCCACCAGCACCCAGGAGCCACGTTTGGCAACTACCACCCGCCAGCCGCCGCCTTCGCGGGACCCGCAGGTGCAACCCTAAACCCTGGTGGATGGCAGCCTTACACCCACAGACACCCTCCTCCCAACCTCCATTTTCCATCCCAGCAGTTTGCATTCAACCAAATCCCTATCCATCCATTCAGCCAGGTGCAAGCCCCTATCTCCGTACACCCAGCCCCTTCAGCACCCATTGCTCCCAACCCTGCAGGCCATTCCGCAGCACAAAACACGGCACCCCATCCGCATGTCCTACCCACACCACCAGCCGTTGCACCCAGCACGGCACATCCAGTAGCTGGCATGACAGATTCACAGCACAGCTTGAGCATGTCGACTTCACCCAACAATCCCAACCCCCCGTCTCACGGCTCCGCACTGGCAAGCGAGCCAGCAGCTGGTGAGATGTATGATTTTAACATCATTGCTTATCATTAGAACCATCAAATTGCTAACCTGACTTACTACTCATGTCACCGTTTGCTCAACGTGTGCAGGGGTGGCTGACGACATCATCGAAACCTTCCTTGGTCACAAAACACAATAAATGTTGAAACGGCTTGCATCGTAAACTCCAAATCAATGTTTAGGACTCAGCATACACATGCATAGAGCTTGACATGTTTAAGCCGTTGCCGTTTAAATGGTACATGGAATGTACTCGTGGATCCATCTGATCATGAGCGTTTTAATTAGAACCTAATTGGCCAGAGTTTATGTTTGTGCGAGTGTTTTTAGCATATGATTGGCGAGATCATAAAGTAAATTGAGTTTCATTGGCGCGGTCAAATATGGTCGCAATCCTTAATGATGGCATCTGATTGGACGTGTAATGCCAACAATTGCACCGAGCATATCATTGACGAATCATGCGCGGTCGTTAGGGCTGTTGCGGTTTGATGCTGGTCAATTGAGGTTTATGATCGCGGATTTATATGCTCGAGCGCTTATTGGTTCCGAATTTGTTTGCCCGCGCGCTCATTGGTCGCGCATTGGGGCGAAAATGGCCGCGCATATACTATTGGTCGGGCCACGTTCGTGCCCGCCAACCACCCGAAATTTTCGGGTGGGGAATAATACGAATCACTACCGCGGGATGAGACTCGTGCGAACGAGGAATTTCGGGGATACAAACCCTGGTAGGGTAATGTGCCGGAGAAAAAAAACCCCTCGAAAATGCCCTGGCGTGGCCACTCGAGCAATTATCACTGAATTTGATGGCCACTCGAGCAATTCGGGGACACGTGGGCAAGAGCGAATCACCAAACAAGGCACGGGAGCAATTCTCTCTTCAGCTAACTTCAAGGGGTACAAATCGAGGAGACATTGAAGTTGGCCCAAATCTCAAGGCTTCGCGACGCGGCTTGGATCATCCTCCCACGAAAAGGTACTTTCAGATGAAACTGAATTCAAATTCACGCAAGTCCAGCGGCATTCAAATTCACAGTTTCATCCCGTTTCATCCAAGTCATGCGATTGTACATTCTTTTTTCTTAGTTCCCCGGGATACAAATCACGCTACACCTTCGACACATCATGGCGAACGCTCCGCTTAATCCGTCCGCCGCGGCAATGGCAGCAGCACAGGCTATCGTAGCACTGCGAAAGGTCTCCAAAGCGGCCGCTAACGCCAACCTTAAAGTTCCGGAGAATGCAGCTGATGAAGCTCGTGCCTGCGAGGTTGAGCTTAGCCAATTCCGTAAGTGGATAGGCGAACGTGGATGCAACTCATTCTTTGGAAATACACATTCTAATGCGACCTCACGCATTGTTTCAGGTGGCATGGACGACCGCGAACTTAATCTCACGCTACACGTCACGAGCCTGACCCGTGCGATTACACGTGAACAGCTTCTTCAATTATTCTCCTTCTGCGGAACGGTCACAAGATGTGACTATCTCAACAACGACAGGTCCGTTGCTCATATTCGTTATTCGACCCCGGAAGAAGCGAAGGTCGCCTTGGACATGAACAACATGGAGATTGCAGATGTGAAGTTGAAGGTTGAGCTGGCGAAAATTGCTCAAGAAAGAATCAAGACAGCTCTGACAGCCTCTGCCAACGCAATTTCCAATTTCCTCCCTGGACATGACGGGAGATCGACCGCCGCGTTGCAAGAGATTGTCGCAAAGCCAATGTTGCAATTTCAAGAAGCGCTTGCTTTGCAACAGAATGCCTCTCGAAAGCCCTCGGGTGCATGCCCCGCCTCAGCGGCAGCTGTTTTGGCAATGCAGAGAGCTAAGGAGATAAGCAAGGTGCTGACATCCCAGGCCTCACTGCATGACCCGTTACAAAAAAGCAGGTCAGTCCTGGCTGCGTGGAAGCCATTTCCATTGAAAAAGGGCATGCTTAGCTGATTGGTCATCGTTGCCAATGTTGCAGGTACGAGAACGTTAACACAGATGACAGGAGGAAGCCCGACTTTCAACCAAGACTCGGCCTCTCATTCAAGGATCGTTCTGGTCGTTCTGATTTTGGCACAGCACAAGGCAGAAGAAGGAAAGGCTCTGGCCGCTCTGAGAATTTCTTGGTGCAGGACAAAAGGAGAGCCTCCTCATACATTGGTTCTAAACGCAGACAGGAGTGGGCGGACAATTATGATTGTAAGCACGAAGACAAGAGAAGAACATTCCAAGTCAAACCAAGCTCTCCTGAGACTAGCCAAGACAGATGGCAAATGGTGCAGGGGAGGGCTCTCCACACACGTGGCTTTGGTGCAGAAGAATAGCCACAAGGCATCTACCCCAATTCCATTCACAGAGATACTTAAAGTAAATTTGAGCAATGTAGTTTATGTACACGTCTGCATGAAGTTGATGAAGCATACAGATAGGCTTATGCATGGATAGGATGTCTTGAACAATGTGGCTTAAATAAGGCCATGGCGAATCTCAGCAACCACAACATGCAGCTCTGGAAACAGGGCTAGAATGACCACCTCCAATAGTGCATGCGCCAGCTGCTTTACACACACCTGTGACTGCAATTTCCCAACAAAAACGAAGCGAGGTGGAGTGGGCGAGGTCATGCAATAGGGATGTATAAGGCAAAGTTGGAAGCGAAACAGTGTTAGGAATATTACTACACTGTGATGGCCCACCTGTACAAAGCTGAAGAGGTCTGAAACTGATCGCTGATAATGCCTCAAGCCAATCAGTGGAACTATTGAAGCAGGTGCCATTTCTGCATAAAAGACACAAGAGAGGAAACAATCAGTGCAAATTCACAGATTGTAAACCAAAAGGCAGCAAATTCTTGCTATAACGACTTACCAATCAGAAGCTGATGAACTCTGGCAGCCTTATCAGCAGCCTCCAGTCGCTGCTGGAAGGACTCAGGAGGAACGTTGAGCCCAAGAGGGTCGGGACGAGTGACAGCAGGAGCAGACGAGCCTGTGCGGGAGCTAGAAGCTGCCACGGAGGCCCGGTAATTTGGATGGCGCGAGTAGAATATGCCATCCGGCCACAACCTCTGACAAGAATCAAAGTGGGCGTTCAACGAAAAAAAATAAGAATGTACGTAAGAAGTGGTAGGCAAGAGAAGTGTTACCTGAATTAACAAAGTTAGGTACAGAGGTTCAGTGGGATGGGTGGCGTGGGCGATGAGAGAGAATAGGAGGGGCCAACTAAGGGGATTTGTGATGATAACATGGCAGGGGTTTTTACAGGAAAGTGGTGTGGAAGCGATGAGGGTGCTAAGGGAAAAGCCCAGACCTGGTGCAGGGAGCGAATGATAGTGGCGACGGTGGATTCTGTGCGGAGCTTTTGGATCTGTGAGAGCAGGAAGTCATCGATGGCATCCCCCATGCTCAGCTCCAACACCTGCCGAGCCACCCACACAACCTGCCGCCTGCCAGGGACCAAGGGGGTGTAGAGCAGGGAGAGATGAAGTGGGTGATCTGGCCATGATAATTTGAATTGGAACAACAATATCAGCATCTCGAAAAGCTCACCCGATCCAGCCAAGCCACCTTCACCGACCTGTTCCAGAGCTATACCGTGGCACGGCAATTTCATTTGGAATGCCGTCAGAGACTTACCTTATCCAGCCATGGTCGTCGAGGTGCAGCAACACTTCCACCAGCCGCAGGAGCGGCGCACTCAGCTTTGCAGCAGTCCACTGTGGTACAGGAAAGGAAAGCACGGCATGGCACGGCATGGCACGTCATGGCATGGCACCCAGCCGTTCACAGCCAAGACGCATGGGATTGGTAGGGAGGAAGAGAGAATGAAACAAACGTGAAGGACGGAAGACGCAGTGAAAGACAAACAGCTATAAAGGAAACAAGCAGTAAAACTTGCACAAATAAGTTCACACGTTGGGCTGATTCTGCCAGTGAACTATATGACTTACATCAGCAGGAACGGTGGCGTCAAGTGCACTCCCCTCATTGTGCCTTCTGACAGAGCCATCCCTTTCCTCGGCTCCTCGCTCCACACGTCCTCCTTGATCTGGTGGCGCATGCAAGCCACGTAGACGGACTGCTTCTGCCACCACCCCATCCTCCTCCTCATCCTCATCATCCTCACAGTCACCATCTGCTTCGAACAGCCCTGCCGGAGCTTCTCCTCTCCCAACAAAACCTGAACCGCCTTGCCCACCTCCTGTACCCTGCCCATCCCCATGCCCATCTACATGCACACGGGTAGCACCCTGTTGACAGAGGTCATCATCCTCGGAGCTTGAACACAGACTTCCATTCTGCTGCTGCCACTGCTGCAGCTTTTGCTGATTCACCCTTCCTCCCTCGTCTGCTTCTCCCCCTGCTCCCTGCGTACCTTCCCCCTGCGCCCTTTGAAGGTCATACTCCAGCCCGCCAAGGCTCTGTCTCGACCCATAACTGAACACATCGTCCTCCCCATTTGCCTCCCTCTCCCCGCCCATCTCCGCACCTCCACCCCTCGCCCCTCCATCCATCAGACTCCCACCGATCGCGCTCCCACCCCTTGGCCCCACACGCCTCTTCAACCCCCCGTCAACCTCTCTCCTCCCTCCCTCACTGCAAATCTCCCGCCCAGCCAAAGCATCTCTTCTCTCCTCTCCCAATACCCCACCCTCGCCCTCCTCCTCATCCCCCGTCTCGCACCCTTCTTCTCGAATCCCCTCAGACCACTCCCCTACTCCTTCCCATACTGTAGAAGGACGGCCCTCCCCTTTCACCATCCTCAACTCCTCTCGACCGCGCAGCCCAACTCTACACCCACCACCACCTCCTTCCCCACTCCTCCCACTACCATCACTGCCAACTTCTTGTCTCTGTCGTCCAATCCCAGCTCTTCTAGCCGCCTCCTTCTCACCCATCCCCGCCACGTGGCGGCTGCTGGTTGGTCGGGCGGGGTGGTGACTGTAGCGAGGGGACGTGGCAACAGAGCTGGTGTCATCCCCGTTAGTAGCAATGGTGGAGAGCAGCTGCAGCTGAAATGTGCTTTTAACGCGCTGCCACTGCAAGTCGTCTGTCACCTCGTCTACACTCACTGCAAGGAAAAAAAAGGGGGAATCAGTGGAGTGGGCAAGTTGCAGAAATGGGGGAGAATGGAATGCGGGGAAGGAAGGGGGGAAGGAAGGGGGAGGCGGGAGGAAGGAAGGGAGGGGATAAAAGTGGAGAGAGCGGGGGAACGGAAAAAAAGTGAGGGTGAAATGGTGGGTTGGGTGGAAACAAGCAAGGGCAATGTTGGGGGTTGGGGGGTGGTGACTGTACAAGAATGCGTGAGAATGAAATGTCTTGGAAACGTGGTAACCTTACTTTATGAGCAAACGGAATTACTTTGAGCAGCAGGGAGAGAGGAGAGAGGAAAGCTCACAGGCAAAAGAGATGGCCTTTGAGACGGTGATGTTGGAGTCATAGGCCTGAGCGAGCACAGGGGGAATTGGAGACAAGTTGGTTGAAGAGTGAGGGGCAAAAAGCAATGGGAAGAGACGTGGAAATGGGGGAGTTAGGGGGAGAGATTACTGGAAAGAGATGGGGGAGAGAGATGGGGGTAGAGAGAAGGTTGGGGGACTATGGGGGGGGAGACAGGTTAACAGAAACGGACGGAAAGCATAGGAGCAGCATAGCGGAAGGTAAGAGAAGCGGCCTACGAGACAAGGCAGTCTTCATAACACAGAAAATATAAGCAGTGTGTGTGTGCTATCCACGCCTGGGAATTAAATGAATGTGCGCACTTCGCAGCACAGCACAACCACACATGCCAGCCACAGCACCCCACTGCACTGCTGCACCACACCACAGCACACCGCACCACACCACACCACACCACCACACACTGCACCACACCACACCACACCACACCACACCACACCACACCACACCACACCACACCACACCACACCACACCATACAGCTCCACGCCACACCTTGGAGTCGGGGGAGAGGAAGTCAATAACCTCTGGCGATGTGGCCAGCTCCTCACGAGTCATGATGCCCTGCCAGGGCGGGCAAGTGGTTAGGTGGGTTGGTGGGTACAAGGGCAGGAAGGGAAAAGGTGAAGAAAACATCTTCAATATCACCTTCATGCTCTGCAAGAATGAGCGGGGACCTGGAGAATGAGTGATGACAAGTGGAGGGTGGCGATGGCAACAGGCTGGCGATGGCAAGAAGGTTGATGCAAAATGCAGGGGTGGGAAGGAGAAAGGAAGGTGGGAGGGAGGAAGGAAGGGGTTGGAAAAGAAGGAGCAGAACTGGAGCGGGGAAGAGAGAGGGATGCATGCTGCGAACAGGGGAGAGGGGGGTGGGGGAGGGGAGGTTGGGAAAGGGCAGCCAAAACAAGTGCAGGAACACAAGTATTCTCACATTCGCACTCCCACCTCATGTATGCATGCTCACACTGACCTCCATGCCCATCCCAACTTGACATAAGCATGCAGCTGCAGCAGGCGGTCGCGAATCAGCTCCTCGTCCCACCCGCAGTGGAAAAACCGCTTGGGCGAAGTGAAGAGAGTGAAAGGACAGCTCGATGAAGAGCCAGACACACATGATCGCACACATACCCATCCCCACCCCACCTTGACGTAAGCATGCAGCTGCACGAGCCGGTCCCGAATGAGCTCCTCGTCGCGCCCGCCATGGAAGAACCGCTTGGGCGGCAGCTGCAGGCTGCTTGCTGACGGGCTGCGCCGCTTCAGCTGCTGGTGCAGCTGCCAGAAGTTGCGATACCTGGGGGGACAGAGGAGGGGGAAGGTAGGGGGGGGGATGGTGTGACAGATGAGGGAGAGGGTATGCTGGGGTGGGTTGCTCCTTGCTGATGGGCTGCGCCGCTTCAGCTGCTGGTGCAGCTGCCAGAAGTTGCGATACCTGGGGGGACGAAGAGGGGTGAAGCGGAAGGGGGGGAGGGGGCGGGGAAAGGGAAAGAGGGACGAGGAAGGGGAGGGGAGAGTTTTTTTGGGTGGATGAGAGGGTATGTTCGGCTAGTTGGATAAGAAGAAAGCTACTAAGGTGTTGATACCACTTGATGACGCACGCAGAGGAGTGCCGAAGATGGTGGAAGAAGGAATGGAGAAGGGGGCGAGGAAAGGAGCACAAGGCCACCATGGCACAATGGCGCATGAGCGCAAGGCAGCAGGAATGCATGCAGTTTTGAGACGTCTCAAAACTATGAGCGCAAGGCAGCAGGAATGCATGCACCTGCGTCGGACGATCCAAGCGGAGCCATCAAGGCCCGTGACAGCAATGGAGTAGCCCACTATGGCCTCGCCCCTTGCCTCCGCTGAGAACGCCCCCACGATCTGCAGGTATGGATGTTTGGATGCATGGACGCATGGAGATAGGTACATGACGTGGCAATGAGATTGCGAGCTCGAGTGGCCGACCTCCCGCCTCCCTGCAAGCACATCCGCACACACACATTCTGGGTCCCACCACCCACGCACACTCCTCCCACCCTCCTACCCAGCCAGCCAGCCAGCCTTCAAGCCAGCCAGCCAGCCAGCCTTCAAGCCAGCCAGCCAGCCACCCATACACACACACAGCAAGCGTGCAACATAAATGCCTGCACACAGTAGGCCACGCAGATTCACCAGAGCTGAGCACACCCCCTTCACGTTGCCACACCACACGCACTCAAACCAACACCACTAAAGTCCCCCACCTGAGCGTGCATCTGCCGGCCCTCTCCAAACGATCGCATCTCCTTGCTCTGCTCCTCGCCCCTGCTCCCGCCCCCCTGCCCCCTGCTATCACCCCCCTGCCCCATGCCCAGGTACTGCTGCATCTCCAGCTGAGCCTGCTCCTCTTCCCTCCGCTGCTGCTGCTGCTGCAGCCACTCACTCTCCAGCAACCACGCCGGCCGCAGCCCTTGCTCCTTTCCCTCCTCCCCTTCCACCACTAATCCCATTCCCCCCACTCCTCCCACCCCCCCCCACTCCCCCCATCCCCCCCGCCATTGCATCACCAATGCCCCGGCTTCTACTACCAGGGCCGTCCCATGCACGAATTGCACTGCGCCCCTTTTTCACACGTGCACTCAGCAGCAGCCCTCCTCCTTCCTCCTCTTCCTCCTCCTCCTCTTCCATGCCCAAACCTTCCAAGTCTAAGAATGTTCCTGCCGTGTACTTCCCTTCCTCAACCCCATCTCGCGAGCGCCATCCCTGCACCACCCCTTGCTGCTCCTGCTGCTGCCACCTCTGCTCCTGCTGCTTCTGCTCCTGCTGCCGCTCACCCTGCTTCTCCCATTCACGCCTCTCCCTGACTCCCTCCACCTCCTCTTCCGCCTCCCACTGCCGCACCACACTCAACGGATCCCTCTCTGCCGCTTCAGCCAGCAGCACCCTGTCATCCCCACTCCCACCCCCACCCACTCCACCCATCTCTCCACCACTCGCCCCTTCCTTCCCCCCTTTCTCACCCGCATCCCCACCGCCCCCACCTCTCATCCCAAACGCACCAGCCAGCCCAAACGCTGCTAGATTCCGCTCCACCCACCCAGCAGTGGCAGCAGCAGCAGACAGTACCGACCGCGCATCATCCCCACCCCCATCTCCCTGTGAGGCAGACCCTGCACGCCCCCCTGCCCCTGAAACCGAACTCTCCCACCCACGCCCCACCCCTGCACACATCCCCCCCTCAGGACCCATTCCCCCAGCCGCTGTGTTTGCAGCTTCAGCCGTGTCCCTGTGTGCACCTGCTGCTCTGCCTCCCGGGTCTGACTTGGGGCCAGCCCCTACAAAACTCAGCCAAGACCCTGCTGCTGCTGCTGCTGCTGCTGCTGCCCCTCCTGCTGTTGCTGCTGATCCTGCGATGGGCCTCGTCTCGCCTTGAGTTCGGTTTGCCACACCAGATGCTCCTGCTACTCCTGCAGCCACTGCAGTAGACCCTGCAGCCGCAGCAGTGACCTGTGGTGTAGAGATTGTGCCTGCGGTGCCTCTGCCACCTGCTGTTGCTCCTGCTCCTGCTCCTGATCCTGCTGCTGATGATGATGACCAGAACGTACCTGTGGTCCACACACCAGCCCAGCCGCCTTGTGCCTGCGACTGCTGTGCCCCTGACACCCCTTTCGCCCCATCTGTACTCGAACCCACTCCCTGCCTCACCCTTCCAGCCCCTCTACCGCCTCCCGAAGCTGCATCCACCCCTCCTCTTCCACCCCCACCACCAACTCCTCTTCCTCCTCCTCCTTCCCCGTCCTCTGCCGCTCCTCCAGCGCCCTTCCTCTGCATCATCTGCATTGTACCAGGCGACTGTTCCACCAGAAACCCCAGCCCGCGCACCGCCACCCCAATCTCCAGCTCCTCGCTCCACCTCCCGCTGCGTGCGCCATCGTTGCGGTTACCACCGCCATTGTTACCACCTGCACCAGCGTTACCAGCAGCAGTTCTCCTGAAACCGCCTAATTCCTCGTCCGAGCACACAGACTCCCATAGCATCTCGCGCTCGTTCTCCTTCGTTCTCCTTCCAGCACCACTGCCTGCACTACCAGCAGCAGCTTCCGTGGGGTCAGTCATCCCTCTCTCTTCCTTCACAGACCCACCCCTCCAGAATTTTTCCCCCTTCACAGGCCTCTCTCGCTCTCGCTTGCCGTTCCTCGTCGCCTCATGCGAGTGCGGGGGGGCAAACTGTGGGGGAGCAGCCTGCTGCAGCTGCTGCTGCTGCTGCTGCTGCTGCTGCTGCTGCTGCTGCTGCTGCTGCTGCTGCTGCTGCTGCTGCTGCTGCTGCTGCTGCTGCTGCTTGTGAATCCCCATAAGCAATTCTTGCTCCTCCCCAGGCGCAACTCCTCCCTCCCTCTCCCCATAGTAAACCTCCTGGCAGCTCTTACTGTGTCCAACGCCCTTGCTACAACTGCCTCCTTCCGTCCCGCCCTTCCAATCTGGCTCCCCGCAGCCATTCCGAATAGACTCCTTGCTGCCGTGCTGTCGTTCCCAACCACCATTCTCAACAGATTCCTCATTCAAAACAGCCTGCGTGCCTGCTTCGTGCCTGCCTGCGTGCGTGCTGTGGCTGTGGCTGTGCCAGTGGGAGTGGGAGTGAGAGTGCACCCCATCGGTGTACCAGAGCTTATCAATCTGCTCGCTGTCCAGCACCTGCAGCTGCCGCTGCTCGTACCGCTTCAACGCCTGCACAAAGTCAGCATCGTCACCCGGTAACCGCATTGCGACCTCCTCACCCTTGCTCCTCCCACCTGCCACACACATTTCACTCGCTTCACACGGCTCGCTCCTCACCCGGTCAAACACCTTCCCTTCCACCTCCCTCTCCCTCCCTGCCTTTCTCCCACACCGCGGCCCCACCCCATCAGCCCCTTCAACCGCAGCCACAGCAGCCCCATCATTGGGATGGACAAACGGACCAGCTACATCAGGGGGAGGAGGCGGAATGTGATAAGATGAGCCTCTAGCAGCAGCAGGTGCAGCAGGCTGGGCATAGCCCGAATCGCTTGACAGCTGGTGGGAGTGCAAAGAAAAGCCCCCGTGCTTCTCGCCGCTGCTGCTCAGCATGCCTTGGCTTCCCGAACCACCACCAGCAGTAGACCCACCCGACCCCCCAAACCCAGGAGAGCCATTAAAGCCACCGGAGGGGCCAGAGGGGTGCGGAGGAAGGGGTGTGGCGGCGATGAGCTGAGGGGCCAGGGACGCCATTGAGGAAGATGCACTCATAGGCTGCAGCAGCCCAGGGGAACGGCCCGGGGGAGGCTTATCCTGGGGAGGCATGGCATGGGGAGGCGCAATCTGAGGCGAATCAGCTGCTCCCGACCCTCCACCAGGTCTGCGCTTCTCTCTTACTCCTCCACCACCCCGACTGCCACCAGGCCCAGCACCCGCAGCAGCAGCAGCAGCACCACCACCACCAGCAGCAGCAACAGCGCCACCGTGACGAGCAGGATAAGAGCTATGAACATGAGCAGAGCCGTTTTCCTCATCAGTGCTGAAGCCCATGCCCACCACGCCACCGTCACTGGTGCCCTCTGCCAGGCTGTCATCGTCCCCCGCACTGTCTCCCCCCAACCCCAACACAGCACGCCGCCGCATGCTGCTGCTGCTGCCCCTACCACCAGATGCACCTCCCCCGAATGCACCTGCCCCGTACGTCCCACCTGGACCAGATACGCCTCCCCCGAATGAGCCTCCACTGGGCGACCCTGTGGCCCGCATGCGCCTGCTGCGGCTGCGAGGGACTCGCCTCCTTAAAGAGGCGCCCATCCGAGAGCCCTTGCCCTGCAACGATCCGTGCTGGGGTGAAAATTCCTGCTGTGATTGCCCATGCTGCTGCTGCTGTTGCTGATGCTGCTGCTGTTGCTGTTGCCACTGTTCCTGCCGCTGCTGTCGAAGGGAAGCGGCCGCAGCACTCAGCGGGGAGACCGAAGCAGTCAGGACCGGCGCCGATGCTGCCGAACCTACATCTCTGCCATCCACACCTGTTCGCGCTCCACCTGACACTCCTGCACCTCCTCCCACCGCCGCTGCTGCTGCTGCACTGGCAGCTACTGTTGCTGCTGCCGCTGCTTTTGTGGCTGCTGAGGCTGTTGGTGGGACAGCGGCGGCAGGGGCTGAAGCAGGAGCAGAGGGTGGTTGTGAGGTGGAAGAGGAGGGATGCTTGTCCAGAAAGGCGAGTATGGCATCGTTTATCACTCTGTGGTGTGGAGGGCAGCAGATAGCGAGAGATCGAGGGAGGGAGGGAGGATGGGAAAGGGAGAGGAAATTGGGGCGAGAAAGAGCGGGAGAAATGAGGGAGCACAAGCATACGATGCCAGACAGAAAATGCTTGAGCACACAACAGGTCAGGTCGCTGCAGATGTGGAAGATCTAGAGCAGCACGGTGCTGGAAGCATAGAAAGTTTTTTTGAGTCGACTCAAAGAAAGGTTCAAGGACGGCTTTACTGGGGATGCTGGCGTTCTCGTATGAGTTCTTGGAGGTTGGCCTGCTACTAGGGTGGATTACTTGGCATGCTTGAGTGCACTACCTACCGCGGGTTGGCCTGCTTGAGGGAGGGCAGCAGCACGCAGCAGGAGAGGAGCTCGCGAGCCATGCAGCGCACCACCTTGCTCTGTGCATCGCTTGCTGGCAGCACCAGCGCCAACAGTGCTGCCACTAGCTTCCGCACCACCTGATGCATGCATGCACACGGACATGCACAGATGCACATGCATGCATGCACTCGCACATGCAAATTTACATTCATGCACATGCATAAACACGCACGCACATGTGACACCCATGCACACACGCACGCACACACACGCACACGCACACACACGCACACACACACACACACACACACACACACACACACAGACGCACGCGCGCGCACACACACACACACAGAGGTGAGAATGGGGGTCTACCAACAATAATCGGAGTTAAGTGAGAGACATGCTGTGTGCAGGGTTTCCCCCCCCCCTTGTGCTTCCCACCTACCTTGTATTCGCACTCCACAGAGAGGCATGCAGGGTGGAGGTCGCCCGAAGCCCCCAGGGTGTGCTTGAGGCGCTCCTCCCTCTCCCCTGCCGCCACCCGCCTCCACTCACCCTTCCCCTCGCCCATGTCCGCACACGCGCGCTGGTACTGCTCCATTGCCCCCACCACCGCTCCCACCACGTCCCTGGAAACATAGTTTTGAGGGAAGAGGGGAGGGGGGGTGGAGATGGGGAAGAGAAGGAAGGGATTGAGCACACGCATGATGGTACTGCTTCATTGCCCCCACCACCGCTCCCACCACGTCCCTGGAAACATTGTTTTGAGGGAAGAGGGGAGGGGGGGTGGAGATGGGGAAGAGAAGGAAGGGATTGAGCACACGCATGATGGTACTGCTTCATTGCCCCCACCACCGCTCCCACCACGTCCCTGGAAACATTGTTTTGAGGGAAGAGGGGAGGGGGGGTGGAGATGGGGAAGAGAAGGAAGGGATTGAGCACACGCATGATGGTACTGCTTCATTGCCCCCACCACCGCTCCCACCACGTCCCTGGAAACATTGTTTTGAGGGAAGAGGGGAGGGGGGGTGGAGATGGGGAAGAGAAGGAAGGGATTGAGCACACGCATGATGGTACTGCTTCATTGCCCCCACCACCGCTCCCACCACGTCCCTGGAAACATTGTTTTGAGGGAAGAGGGGAGGGGGGGTGGAGATGGGGAAGAGAAGGAAGGGATTGAGCACACGCATGATGGTACTGCTTCATTGCCCCCACCACCGCTCCCACCACGTCCCTGGAAACATTGTTTTGAGGGAAGAGGGGAGGGGGGGTGGAGATGGGGAAGAGAAGGAAGGGATTGAGCACACGCATGATGGTACTGCTTCATTGCCCCCACCACCGCTCCCACCACGTCCCTGGAAACATTGTTTTGAGGGAAGAGGGGAGGGGGGGTGGAGATGGGGAAGAGAAGGAAGGGATTGAGCACACGCATGATGGTACTGCTTCATTGCCCCCACCACCGCTCCCACCACGTCCCTGGAAACATTGTTTTGAGGGAAGAGGGGAGGGGGGGTGGAGATGGGGAAGAGAAGGAAGGGATTGAGCACACGCATGATGGTACTGCTTCATTGCCCCCACCACCGCTCCCACCACGTCCCTGGAGGTGGGAACAAGAATCAGAAAGCAGGGAAGCGGAGGGAAAAGGGAAAGCGGGGTGGGGGGGGAAGGGAAAGTGAGGGGCGCAACATGACGTGGCATGGTGGTACGGCTTTGCATGGTCAGCAGCAGCGCAATGATGGGTGCGTCGCAAGCTTCTTGCAGCATGCACGAAGGCACGCAAGTATGTACGCAAGCAGAGAAGAAGGGCGTATCTGGCAACGCGCATGCAAGCAGGAAGCAGAGCACGCAGGGAGGCAGCACCTGGTGAGCAGGGCGACGAGGTTGACCCGCTTGGCCCGCCGTGCCACCTCCCCCAGCACGGCCAGCAGCACACACCGCAGCTCCTCTGGCATCTCCCTGTCTGGTGTCAGGTACGCATAGAACTGGTTCGTCACAAAGTCCCTGGGAGTGGGAACGGGGGGAGGGGGGGGGTTGGGGAAGGGGGGTTTGGGAGGAGAGGGAGGGAGTTGAGCAATACTCAACAGTCACCGCAGCTCCTCCGGCATCTCCCTGTCGGATGTCAGGTACGCATAGAACTGGTTTGTCACAAAGTCCCTGGGGAAAGGGAGGGTGGGAAGAGAGAGTGAGCTTTGAGAAGAGGAAGGATGAAGAGGGTTCTGGTCTACTGCTTCTTGGTGTGAACACGAACAGTCAGAAGTCTGTTTGTAACGAGTATGCACCTCACTCACCTGATAATGGAGCGCACAAACTCATCAAGAGAAGCTTCCACCAGCGGCGATCCAACCAGCGCCAGCCCGGCCGGCTCTGACGGCCGCGGGAGGGCGTCAGCAGACGTGATTGGCTGGAAGGGCGCGTGCACCTGCTCGTAGTGCACACGTGGCAGGCTGGCATTGGCGCGCGCCTGCACCTCGAGCATGAGCCAGCGAGCGACGGCGAGAATCCCAAGGGCCACTGGCAGGTTGAGGAGCAGCGAGAGGCTTGTTACTGACGCCGGATAACAGGTGTTAGGAGGGGAGAGGAGAGGTTGGGGGTAGGGTGGGGGAAGAAGAGGGAGGATGTTTTGAGGCGACTCAATGATCCTGAACGCCACCGGCACGTTGAGGAGCAGGGCTTGCTACTGGCACGGGTCACAGGTCCGTTGGAGGGATGGTAGGGGGAAGGGGAGAGGGGGGGGACGTGAGCTGCGGCGAGGATCCCGAGGGCCACCAGCAGGTTGAGGAGCAGCGCGGGGCTTGTCACTGACGCCGAGGAGAGGGGGGAAGAGGTGAAGGGGAAACTGAGCACACGGGTTCTGAAAGTTGCACGCGGTGTGTAGTCACACAGAGCATTGACGTCTAGCACGTAACGCAGGTCCACGGAACGGCCTGCCGGACGAGGAAACGTTCTTAACGCATCCCCAGCGAGTCGTTTAGGAATAAGCCACGAACGACCTGTGTGACATGATGGTACACGCTGTGAGCGTCGGGGCCACCCGCGACTCCGAGCACAACAGATGTGACTACTCGAACCACAACATGACCACGACGGAGCTCTATCAACCCCCGAGGAGAACAAGCTTCGATAAGATTCTTACGCGACATGGCGTACGCGAGAAGGACCGCGGCGACGATGAGCAGCAGTCCGCGCGAGCGAATCTCCTCCACCAGCTCCTGCACGTGCCGTATCCGACCCATTTGCACCCATTCGTTCGCCCTCCAACGCGCGAGCCGCCAGACGCCCGGCCGCACGTGCAAGGTTCCCCCCGACCCTAGCACCTTGCACGGCCGGCATAGCAGCGCGGGAGACGGTTTGGTTAAGACTGCGCTGCAGCATCGACATCTTAAAGTCGGCATTCTGAAAGCCTTACGGAAGGTACCAGCGGTGCTAAGGTGTGAATTGCCACGGGTAGCCTTACTGATGCCTGATGAGAGATTTTTTACTCGGCTCAAATGTCACCTCATTTTGTAAGCCTTTGGGTAAGCCTTAATGCTGCTAAGCGTGTCGAGCATAGCTTAGTGTTGTTTCTTGAAGCTAGGTTAAATACACGGTGCTGCTGCGTCGGTGTCGGTAGGTGCCATGACCCGTCGAAGCCATGAATCACTGCTGCATTGTTGGTGTCTTCACAGAAGGCACAACGAACAGTGCAAAGTCGGGGGAGCACGAAGCGAAGTCAGCAGCAGTTCCACTCCCCGCACGTCGCGACATTTTTCACTGACGCTGACATTTCCCTTCGCATAGAGTACAGTACTTCAGCGGGTATGAGTACAGTAATTTAAGGTACTGCACTCTGACAAACCGTTAACTGATCATCCAACCAAAAACTGCCTCAACACAGAAAATGCATACTCTGATAATCTAGTACCATCCTTCTTTTGTCCCCATGGCGTTTGTTCCCATTATGCTTAAATCTCGAAACTGTCTAATAATCACCCTAATTATTATGCAGGCTCTAAATGGCTGACGCTTTATTCATAAATAAGCATTTTGCAACTCATAAAGACGTACCTCGCAAGTACTACTGTAACAGCTTGATCGTGCGAACTACTAGGTTTGTGTTTGACAACTCTTATGCAGACTACCGAATTGTCAGAATAGTAGCTAGAGGGTGAGACTAGGAGACATCCTAGGGTTTAGGCTAGGCATGACTATCGAGAGAATTGGAGCAAGAAAGAATCGTTTCACTATAGAGAGTGAAGTACAAATAAGGGAGGAAAGGGGGTACACCACCAAGCAGGAAATTAGGATAACTGCACTACAGCTAGAACTACATGCAGTTATAACTATATAATTCTGACATCCCCCTTTAACTGCATGAAGGAATAGCCAAGTGCAAGACACAACCTGCAGGGGTACATCAAGCAGAACAAAGCAGCAGCACACAAGAACAGTGACAACCAGTGCATTAGTGGCAGATACAGCTGAAGTAAGCCCTGAGGCAAGAGAGAAACAGACAACAGTAAGTGCATGTGGCGTAGGTAGCCTGGAGAGCAGGTGCGTGCGGCGAAAAAGGGTGGCGGCAACGCAGGGCTCAACGGCAGCACCTGCCGCTCAACAGCAGCAGAGAGACGAGACAAACGAAGGTGGCGACAGAGGCTGCAGCAGGACGTGCCACGGTAGCAGAGGGCGGGAGTTGCATATGTGTGGCTGCTTCATCTCGCTCACCACCCCCTCACTGCATCTCCTCCCACAGCCCGCCACCCAGTCATCTCCCTCCCCCCCCCCCCCCACTGTAGAAGGTGCTGGAGTTCACGACCAGCGGCGAGGCGAAGGGGCAGCGCACGGGACGGGGCGAGCAGGTGCAGCAGGCGCGATGGGACGGGACGGGCGGGCGCAGTAGGCACGACGGGACGGGACGGGCGGGCGCTTCGGGCGCGACGCGACGGGACGGGCAGGCGCCACTGACGCGACGCGACGGGACGGGCAGGCGCTGCGGGCACGACGGGACAGGACGCAGGGCGAAATGGGCCGCGCGCATGTGGGTCCATATCTCTTAAAATTACACGAAGGTTCCAGGATGGAACCAGCTCTGAAACCATGTCCGAATAGTAGCTAGAGGGTGAGACTAGGAGCCATCCTAGGGTTTAGGCTAGGCATGACTATCGAGAGAATTGGAGCAAGAAAGAATCGTTTCACTGTAGAGAGTGTGTCAAAATGTTATACTACTTATATTGTGTAGGTTGTAGTGGGGTATAGCCCATAAGGGGTACAACCCAATTAGGGTTAGTACTTGTACCAACTTTCTGCTCAATGCATTCATTCTCGTTCAGTATTCTGACATGGTTTTAGAGCAAGTCCTGTTCCAGGACCGTTTTTTTTTTAGGGCCCACCGCATAGTTCCCTGCTCGTAGCGTTGCCCCACTAGTCGCGCTGCCCTGCCCTGCCCGTCGCGCCGCCCTGCCCTGCCTGTCGTGCCGCCCTGCTGGCCGCGCGCTGCCCTGCCCTGCCCATCGTGCCGCCCTGCAGGTAGCGCGCCGCCCTGCTGGCCGCCGCGCCGCCCTGCTGGCCGCCGCGCCGCCCTGCTCTGCCTGCGCGTCGCCCTGCAATGCTCGCGCACCGCACTGCTGGCAGCCGCGCCGCCCTGCCCTGCCTGCGCGTCACCCTGCCCTGCCCGCGCGCCGCCCTGCTGGCCGCCGCGCCGCCCTGCTAGCCGCCGCGCCGCCCAGCCCTGCCCGCGCGCCGCCCTGCTAGCCGCCGCACCGCCCTGCCCTGCCCGCACGCAGCAGTGCTGGCCGCCTCCCTGCCCTGCCATTTGCGCTGCCCTGCCCTGGCCGCGCGCCGCTCTTCCCTAGCCGTGCGCCGCCTCACCCTGCCCTGCACGCTTCCCTAGTGCTCGCGCGCCGCCCTGCCTGCGTGCTGCCCTGCTGGTCGCGCACCACCGTGCTCTGCCCGCTATGGCTTCTCTCGGTATTCTCACCTTCGATCATGAGGACCGTCCGATCCAGTTCGATACGTGGCTCGACAACTTACAGCTGTACCTACTGAGCGATTCTAGAGACAACGTTTCGTTGTTTGACCACACGTCTGGAGCCTCTCTCGCCCCTCCCGCTACAGCTGACAGTCGACTCGCTCACAGTGGCTTACCCGTGACGCTGGTGCTCGCTTAGCCGTTCGCAACCACCTGTCGTAAGCCGAACGCGCTCACTTTATTCTGCACAAGACTGCTAAAGCCCTGTACGACGCTGTAGTCGTTCGTTACTGCCAAGAGAATGAACGAGAATGAATGAACTATGAAAGAGTTGGGTACAAGTACTAACCCTAATTGGGTTGTACCCCTTATGGGCTACCCCACTATAGCCTACACAATATAAGCTATACAAAATTTTGACACACCCCCATAGGCAAAGTGGGGGAGAACAAGTGGTCACAAGACCAGTCAAGAAAAGCAAAGCAAGCTCGGGGTGGATCACAAGTCACCACAAAGTCCGAGTACAAGCAAAGGGCCACAAGGCCAGTTCACATGCAGAGTTATATAAAAGAGAACAAACAATACAGTGATCATACCCTAGCAAGTGTAAGCATGCAGGTATATATAGATCACAGTACAAGCAGAGTCATGCAGTGTGCAAGTGAGGCAAAGTAGGCACAAGGCCTAACACAGTAGAGAAGCGCTGATGATCACCAGGCGGAAGTGCCTTAGTGAATATATCAGCAGTGCTGGCCTTAGTGGCCACGTACGCAAGACGAAGCTGGCCACGCTGCTGCAACTCTTGAGCAAGGAAGTATCGCAGAGCGATGTGCTTCGTTCTGTGCTCCAGTCTGTGCTCCTGACACAAGGCAATCATGGCCTTGTTGTCTACGTACAGAACTGGAGGCGAACGAGGCTGCTCTCCCAAGTCGGTCAGTAGGTAGGTGAGCCAGCGTACCTCTTCTGCAGCCATGGCCCCTGAGTAGATATCAGCCTCACAACTGGAGCTGAGAACCGAAGACGAGCGGGTAGACCGCCAGGAAACTGAGTCGGAACCAAGGCTGAAGGCGTAACCCTGTGACGACCGCTGCGTAGCTGAGTCGTCAACCCAAAAAGCGTCCGTGTGAACAGTGAGGACAACTGGACCCCGTCCTCCAAGCACGAGCCCCATGCCCGACGTACTGCACAAGTAACGCAGTACCCTCTTCGCAGCATCCCAGTCACCTTTCGGTGCCTACCGGGAGCCACGTAACGAGCCAGGAGGCTGAGAGGGTACGCGAGATCAGGTCATGTGCACGTCATCAGGTACATGAGGCAACCCACAAGCTCTGGGTACGGACCAATCGGCTCTACGGACTCGTCCCAAGGTGGAGCTGAGAGCGAGTGGCTGGTAGAAAGAGGAGTGGGCTGTGGCGAGGAGAACTGGAAGCCGAAGGGCTGAAGGACCTGGTGCACCATGTGTGACTGAGTCAGGGTGATGGTGCGCCGTGCTCTGTCGCGGGTGATCTGCAAGCCAAGATAGCTGCGCAGCTCACCCATGTCAGTGCAGGTGTGTCTCTTCTGCAGCTCCGACTTCACAAGGGCCAGTGCCTCAGTGTTGGCAGTGGCAAAGACGAGGTCGTCGACGTACACGAGGACGTAGAACGGCGGCAGCGAGGTGTCGGTGCGTAGAAACAGCGACGGGTCAGCAGTAGAAGGAGCAAACCCAAGAGCCGCAAGTGTAGTCCTCAGTGTGTCGTGCCACTCGCGAGGCGCCTGGCGGAGACCGTAGACTGGCCGCCGGAGGCTCCACTGGGTACCCGCAGGAAACGACCCAGTGAAGCCAGGTGGGCGGCGCATCCAGATCTCCTCGTGCAGGCTGCCTTGCTAGAAAGCTGTGCTGAAGTCCAGAGAGTGCAGCTCGTAGTCACGCTGAGCAGCGACGTGCAGCAATACCCAAAGAGTAGTCATCTTCGGGGTGGGGGAGAAGGTCTGGAAGTAGTCAACCCCCTGTTGCTGATTGAAGCCTCAAGCAACGTAACGCGCCCGCTTCACTCTGAAAATCCACATGCCATCGACTATGTTCGCCCCAGGTGGGGGAACCTCGTCGACGTAGGTGCCTGTGGACTTCCAGGATGCCATCTCTGCATCCATGGCTGCCTGCCACTGAGAGGAGTAAGGACCCGTAATCGCCTCTGCGTAAGAGCGCGGGGTCGGGATGTCTGGTGCATCCAGGTCTCCCTCAGGGGCAAGCAGCATGGAAGCGAAACGAGGTACAGCAGCTGCTAGACACTCAAAGTCCTCCTGCTTGTCCTCAAGGACGTCCATGCCAAGAGCACACTCACACCCGACGGACGGAGGACTGGCAGACGCAGGCTCAGCAACAAGAGCAGTGGCGTAGTCTAGACGACAGGCAGTAGCAAAGTCAAGCAGCTCAGCAACGAGGGCAGACGCA